ATTAGTAAATTAACAAAAAATCTACTAATATTTTCTAATTAAAAAAAAAAACAAAAAAAAAACTTTGTCGTTCAGTATCGTTAATGAATTATTATTTTTAATTTTGCATTCAAAAGTCATATAACTGATCGCGTTTAAAGTCATTAACAATACATCCACTTAAAATAAACCATCTTACTGGGCATTCAGTACATCCTAAACGGTCTATGTATTTTGGATGCATTCGAATCAAAGTCTATTTAATGTTGACACCTCTTCCAATAGAGTTATTTCAGTTGTATAGATCTATCTACACTGGTGACCTGGATCGACCAGTTATCAGAGAGCTCGATTCGGAAACAAGTCGCTGGCGGTCATATGTCACGGTAGACTGAACATGGCTCGTCCTACCGCAATAGGTCACCGAGATACATCGGCCAAGGTGAACGGAGGTGAATATTATGCGCAAATTATAGCCAAATGCAGGCGGGTTTACATGCGACGATAAAATAAAAAGAAACGTCACTCTTGTACGAATTAATGCGTAGTTTATCCTTATTTGCGTCTAATTATTGGCTTACAAAGTATATATTTTAAAACGTTTTTTTGTACGTACAAACAGTATTAATAAGATGTGGAGATTTTTTAAATAAGTATTTGTGATTTGCCTTTTTTATTTTAAACGATGTTAGATACGTATTTTATTGAATTTTTTACTACACTAGCTGTTGTCCACAACTTCGTTCACGCAATATTAAGATAGATAAAGTAGCCTATAATGTGCCTGACTATGTCGGCCAGCGTTCAATGAAAGACCGGTCGAAATCGGCCTAGTTTTTCGGTCATTACCGGGAACAAACGCGGCTTGCGGACAGACAGACAGACAAAGAGACAAAAGTTTTTTGAATGCGGTTTTCGTATCAGCAACGCAAATACACCATCTTTCCGTAATCTAGCATTTGTCTTTTGAAATTACAAACAGACACTCCAATTTTATTATATGTATAGAAGACAAGCTAGAAAAATAATTTGTTATTTCAAGGAACGATCATACTTCATACTGATATAAATGCGAAAGTTTATATGGATGGATGGATGTTTGTACGAGTTTGTAGCCTAAATGGCTGAACGGATTTCTATAAAATTTGGTATAGATGTAGAGGATATTCTAGAAGAACACATAGGGTACTTACTTTTGATTTTCTTAATTCCACGCGGACGGATTCGAGGTCGAAAGCTAGTTGAATATAAAAATCTATATCGTTAATCTATTTTTAATCTGTTACTAACACGTGGGAGGCTGTGATATGGCCGTGGGATTAACAAAGGGTGTACTAGTTATGTAGAACGATGTCTCAATTATGGAAATGCGCGTAAAACGTATGAAATATATGGAATAGGGCCAGCTAAGGATGGCTCCAACAATAACTTGCATATTCATAAATTGACGGCTAAGAAACGCGAGTTCAACTATATTAAAATAAAACAGACGAGTATGTTTGTGCGCGGTAACACTAAAAATATGATATGGAAATTTTTATTTGCGTTTGATATCCTAATTATTCAATAATGTTATAAGGTATTCATATTACAATAAAAAAAAACCTCTTTATTGTCATCATGTACATTTACATACAGTGAATGTATTTAACAAAAAAAAAAATATGATGACAATGAGCTGCAGGCTCAATATGAGTACCTTACAAGGATTCAGAGCGGAAAGATAAAAACTTTAGGCAAGAATGTGATAAGGCACATAAAAGTCTCGTAGTTTGTACGATGAGTAAAACCGTGGGATATAACTAGTTTTTTACTTAACGCAAAATTTTAACTACGATGACCTATTTTCGGTACAACCGGTCATATGTGAAATTAGATCAATGATATACACGTGCGTAGGTATGTTACTAGCTAAGAATAACGAACACATCAGAGCGGAAGCAAGAATTATCTATATATAGACACTAGCGGTATCCCACGGTTTCGCTTTTATTTAGCATATGCGTAACAGATTAACGACTTATCAAGATACTAGTTTTTGTCCGCGACTCCACGATGGAATTAAAAAAAAAAGTGAGTATGTGCTCTTCCAGACTATACTCTATACCAAATTTCATTGAAATATTTCCAGCTGTTTAGGCTACAAACTCTAACAAACATCCATCCATGTAAACTTTCGCATTTATAATATTAGTATGAATAAGATTAAAGCACTGGAAACTGACGATTTCAATACATATTCTTATTAAAAAAAATAACTCCGAGGTAAAACCCGCTGTATATGTTCTAACAATTTTAACTAAACAGTCGAACTGTTAATGCAAACTGTGAGTGTATGTGCACAATTTTAACTGTCACTTGAACTGTACACCAGACTTAACTGTTTCATTATCTATACTATTATAATAAAGCGTAAACACACACTTCTTTGTTGCCTAAGATGTCAGCTATTATAGCATGTTTTTGAATAATTCTCTTTTTAAATAAACGCCCTACACTTACGTCAGGCTTTAGGCTATACATTTTTACGCCAGTAAACTTAGGGGGTAAATGTTTTGGATAAAAACCCTAATGTGGGAAAGAGACCATAAGTTGCTGCCAACATCAAGGTAGCAAGATTGTCATCATGTCATGTCATTTTGACATTTGTAATTGATAATTTGACAAATGTAAACTATAAAATAAAATTTTCATAATTTCATGCGGATGAAGTCGCACGGGAACATATAGTAATTAAATAAATATAAATGATTGATTATTTTTAATGGTTAATAAGTCTTTAGTTTTCCTTGAATTTAATCAATTTAAATTGTGACGACCGTTACATTACTTGTGTAAATAAGTTTTTTACAAAGTCAACGGTCACCATTAGAACAATCGGTGTAATATATTTATGTCATTAAATAACTAAACTAGAGCACAATGTTAATCAAACTGATTGCGTTGAATTACGTTTCTTTAAATCAATGATTCTACTAACCATTATCGTGGGGACGAGAAAAAATTACAAGTGGGTGAAAGGTGGAATTAGACAGTGACAAGTTGGACATTCAAATTATTCAAATCGAAGACATCGATATGTCACCGATTAATTGTTAATTTTAAAATTCGTCTGTTTGTTATCTTACTAGACGTTATTGCAAACTGTGAAATGAACTACTGTATTGAAGTAAGCATGATGTGATGTGTTCTCGACAATATATGTCAAACTGTATAATTTTAGTTTAAGTTAAGATATAACTTTGAAGTTTATGCAAAGCAAAGAACATTTTGGTTTTATCCGATTTTATAATTTTTCTAGTCGAATTAAACGTAGGCGTAATTCACAATCTATCGGTGACATACAAATACACTTTGTTCCAAGATAACGTGGACATTTAATAACAAAAACGCATCGTAGGTTACTCGTCGCCATGAAAATGAGTATTTTGATAACTGGACCATTCAGATCGCGTCGACCGTTTGAATGTCATACTTTATCTGTATTACGCAAATGAACCCAATAAATAAAACATCCAAAATTCTTAATGGATCCGATACGATATCTGGGGTCATGGTATCACGCTCTTGCACAACAAAAACCCTTCCGTTCCACTTCGTTCTCTGATATAAATGTCACCTTGTTCTTACGTCTGATAATTCACGCTTGTTACTAATGATTGGACGATGCGCTTTCTTGTCAAGTTTCACCGTTTTGAGTGAAATTCTAATGCCACTTTTTAAACCTTGTCTTTTTTATAGGTGGCAAACGAGCAAGCAGCCACCTGAATCCGAAATGGCGAAGCGAAAGGAAGGTTGACTAAAATTATACCTCCGGCACCACACTCATTTATCCATCCATCTATTTATGTAAACTACCGCATTTATAACATTAGTATGATAATTATTGTTAATAAAATAAAATAAAAATAAAATAGTCTTTATTTCAGTCCTGCATTAAAGTTATAAAAATTAAAAATAATTAAAGTAAAAGTTAAATAAAGTTAAAAAAGCATAAATAATAACTGTTCTAATATTCGTTTTTTTGTTTAATTTCTGCAGATCTGTTTGCCATTCGGCAAAGGCCTCCTCCAACCTTTTCCACTCATGCCTTTCTCGCGCTACTCTGGCCCACGTCACTCTATTATTGTTAATATACACAATATTTTACGGTTCAGTTTTCAAGAATGTAATAAAGGATTTTGTGATTGGAATATAAAATTCCTCCAAGTATAACATAACTTTAATTAGTTTGTAGGGACATTTCCGTCTATCGACTTCAAATTATGATTATTTGTTTCCTTAATAAATTAAAAAATATCGGTTAGGTTTTACCCGTCATAAAAAATAAGGAAAACATTCATAGAGCTGATAGGGATACTCATTACTATGCATCCTGGAACAGACTTTATTTAACAAAAATAATTCATTCATGTTATTTTGGCTATATTTAAATACTAACACAATGAAAAATTTAGCAGAATAGCATTCAGAAGTAAGACAAAAATTATGATTAAAATAAGCAAAATATCAAAGATACATACGTAATCTATACTACTATAATAAAGCGTAAACACACACTTCTTTGTTGCCTAAGTTATCATATTTTTGAATAATTCTCTTTTTAATAAAAAGTCCTACACTTACGTCACTCTTTAGGCTATATATTTTCACGCCATTAAACTTAGGGGTTAAATATTTTAGATAAAAACCCTAATGTGGGAAAAAGACCATAAGTTGCTGCCAACATCGAGAAAGCAAGATTCCTAAGATTTGTCATGACATGTCATTTTCACATTTGCTATTGATAATTTGACAAATGTAAACAATAAAATAAAATTTTCATAATAGCATGCGGATGAAGCCGCACCAGAACAGCTAGTTTAGAATAAAACTTCGCTAAAATAAAAGGTCGCTGTGATATCACACTTGACTCTTCGAACTCCAGCCATTCAGGTTTAAGAAGAGTACAATAGATCGTTAGAAAAAATCTACTAAAGCGAAGAATATAGCTTAGCATTGAAAGATTTCTTCTGTTTTAGGTGTATAAAGGTCTGGATATAGTGACAGCGAAGGCGAGTTGTCAAGAACGTGAAATGGTGCCACACCACCTGCTTGATCTATTGGAACCGCACCAGATGTTCACCGTCGTCGACTTCCGCAACAGAGCTCTGAAGATTGTATCCTTTTTTACGCATTTTAACTCAAACATGAATAACAAAGGAGTAACGAAAGGAATGATAGATCGATGTAAATAAAAAAAACCCTAAACTGCCTCTAAAGTCTGTCCTCGGCGGTATTTCAAGAAGCGAGCCTATAATTTCCTCAAAGGCCGGCAACGCATCTGTAGTACCTCTGGTGTTGCGGATGTCCATGGGCGTCGTTGACCACCTCCGTGTTCTCGCCGCTCGTTTGACCCCTTCTCATATTAAAAAAAGTCTTCATGTTTATCTAAGTCGCCGTTAACATTTATGTCTACTCATCATATTCATCCACCCCCTCCCCCTATTCTTTTCCTGTACAGTAAGTCTATCTTCCATCTTCAGTCGACACTCCCTTCTTGATCATGTCACCTTTCATGCGATCTATCAATCTCTTTTAAGACCTACAATTACCGGTGTACCTCAACATTCATAACTAAATTTATTTTAAGGGGTTTTTGATATTAGCTTAAACATTTTTTCTATATGATTTACTCATTAGCTTACACACATTTTTAGTATTAGATTTATTGGATTATTTTCTATATCTCTAACACCTGACGCGCGGTCACCTTTGAAAGACTAAGCTGGGTGCTGGTCATTTACCGTATAATCGGCTTAAGCATTAGGAATATTACTAATTGCCCCAAATATTATTACCGCTACAACACCTGTGTTGAAAGGTATTTGTAAAGATTATTAATACATCACTAACGGCTACCTTTTTAGTATTCTCATTCGGTTTTTTTTTATACGAGCAAAAACCGTTTTTGTATAGAAACCGACGAACAAAGATTCTTAAAAGCAGACTTATTTTGAAGTTAAGCTTAAATCACTAGTCGAGTTAAGGTACATTATACCAGTCCAGTGATCGAATTCAACGCTGGCTTACAACTGAAAACATCTAAATTTTTAGTGGAACCCTGGACTGGGATATAATACCATAGTAAAATATAACGATAAATTGTAATAACCCTTAATGAAAATCCAGATACAAAATCTGACAGAAAAAGGGAAAATCCCAATAATTGTAGGCGGCACGAATTACTATATCGAATCTATCGTCTACCAAATTCTTGTTGAAGACATGAATGACTCTAACGCCCTCTTGTGGGAGACGAGTAAAAGAAAAAGAGACAATGTAGACAACAAAAATGATGAATCTCAACCAAAAAAACTCGCTGTTGACTGTAATAGTGATGTGGACAAGGAACCCGTATCTAGTGATGTGAATGAAGTAGAAAATTTTATCGATAAACAAAAGCTACAGGAAGAAATCGATAACGAAAGTAACTTCACTAACGAGGAAATCCATGCAAAATTGAAATCGATAGATCCGGTAATGGCGTCACGACTACATCCTAACAATAGAAGGAAAGTTTTAAGGTAAGAGTATTCAAAAACATTAAAACTAAACAGAATCATACATTGAAACTCCGAAACATTTGTCGTGATTGTCGTAAGTTATGAACAAACTTTTAAGTTAATAAGTTAATTAGCAGATAGGATGAAAGGGAAGGCAATACGGGAAGGCTGACTCCAGGAGAAATCTTTAATTAAATTCATATAGGTTATACCAGCATTGACGCACTGGTAACTAATGAACATACTTTTAAGTTAAGAAGCAGATAGGATGAAAGGGAAGGCAATAGCTGACTCCAGTAGAAATCTTTAATTAAGTTATTTATGTCAGCACTAGCTGTTCCCGTGCGACTTCATTCGCATGAAATTGATTACATTTGTCAAATTCAATTGCAAATATCAAAATGACAGACATGACATGATCACAAAGCATGGCAATTTTGCTTAATGTTGGCAGCAACTTATGGTCTCTTTCCCACATTCGGGTTTTTATCCAAAATATTTACCCCTAAGTTTAATGGCGTGAAAATATACAGCCTAAAGCGTGACGTAAGTGTAAGGCTTTTTAATAAAAAAAAGAGTTATTCAAAAATATGCTGTAATTGCTGACATCTTAGGCAACAAAGAAGTGTGTTTACGCTTTATTACAATAGTATAGATTTACCCACTAGTGTAGTTCAGTAGGTCAGCAAAAAAAGTTAAACAATTTAGCAAAGATATTTTTTTACATTTCTCACTCATTACGAAGATAATGTTATACGCTTCGCTTAGTAATACATTATTAAAAATCTAATATTAGTGCTAAATATAGTATTTTCCACGAATTGATAATTTTATTATTATATTGCATCATACAGATTTGTGTGAGAATAATTTGCTGAACATCTTAGCATTGCCATTAATGGAAATTAATAAAATCGACGAAACGTCGCCAGAACTCGTTCATGTGATTAACATAAACATCAAAATGTAAGGCCGTATCGCATGATGACATAAAGCGTCGACCAGTTCTAAAGGTCTTCCTCTTCGCGCGGCGCTCGAAGGAAAATTACTATGTAGGGGGAGACGTATGAATGGCGGCGGACCAGGTTATGCTGGTCGATTTAACTTCCGCGGGTCTCTGACCGCTGCCAAGGATTTCGTAGATATTCCAATGTGTGCGTGCGGCGTGACCTTGGCTTTCCTAGCGGAGGCTAGAGGGGCCATGATTTCGTTTTTTCTAGGACATTTTCATGTAACATTGTAAAAATGTCTACTCGGAATGTGTAAGATAATATACATATTTAAGAATAATTCTTCTAGGAAAATAAATTAGATGAAAACATTAATAGTAATGTGTCAGGATTATTATCTACATATCTTACTAAAATAAGTTGTTAAAACATTTAATTATGTTTTAACTGATTTCCGTACACACTACAATTCTTAGTTGACCGTTTTCTATATTTTTCAAACCAGTTACAAATTCAGTGTTTAAATAATTATAGGGACTATGAATCGAAAATTTTCCACAGTTTTATGGTCACCCTGTATCACATCGCGGACGCGGCCCCCCGATAACCCCGAATTATTTATCGCGATCATTAAACAGCAAACCCTACGCCTCTAACTCGAAGCACGAATCGTCATTCTACTATGTGTAAATATTTGACGCGCCGATGGTTTTTTCCTGTTTCCCATCGCCATTGTACCCGCGATTTGGACTTCTAGAATGTTCCCTACAAAAGGATGATTACGTCACTAGTTGCTAAGGGACATATGAAGCGATATTATGCGTAGTGTATAGGTATTTGTCATTTATTGGACTAATAAAATATATCCATTACTAAAGATAGTGTATTTCCTAAATTCACGTCTGGAAAATAATTTTACCGATCTTTGTTAACTAAAAACAGCTACAAAATCTTTATAAATTTTTATCGATGGATGTTTTTGTTTCCTTTGATATTTTTTTTTATCAAGTGTCTACGAATATATGGCGTGAAGATATATTTCCCCGTACTCTACAATCGCAATGCGTCGAAGCTGCGAAGTCAGACCGTCGTGCGTTTTATTATTTCATTTTGTATGTAAATGCTTAAATAATAATATGTAGTTACATAACTCAGCGTCAATGGGCCGAGATAAGCGTCAGGGCTTTTAGGGTTCCGTGGCCCTTTGTTTTTGCAAATAAACCCTTAGAATAGAAAATAAAATTAGCAATCTTAGATTTTTCGGTCTTTTTTGTTTAAGACCAAACCAAAACAACAATGCCTCGGAAAGAGATTTGCACTGAAATGCTTTTTTTGTTGACAATGTTTTTTTTTTAAATATAGTTAACAGATTAAAATAGTAATAAGCAAATAACCCAACCTTAACGTGTTAATAATATTTTAGAGTGTAGTCTGATAGAGTATACCCGTTTTACAACCCCGTCTCCTAATAACCAATAAATGAAGTGTGTTAGTCATCTATACTACGAGTAATATACGAGTAATAAAGCGTAAACACACACAACTTCGTGGCGTAGGATGTCAGCAATCACAGCATATTTTTGTATAATTCTTTCTTTACTGAAAAACCTTACATTTACTTCACGCTTTAGGCTATATGCTTACACGCTATTAAACTTAGGGCGAAAAAAATTAAAAAAAAATCATGTGGGAACGGGACCATAAACTACAAGCTGCCAACGTTAAGGAAGCAAGGTTAGTATGGTAACGGTAATTTTCACATTTGTAATTGAGAATTCGACAAATGTAGACGATAAAAAATGTTTTAATAACTTTATGCGGATGAAGCAGCACGGGAACAGCTAGTTCTGTTATAAAAATACGCTACGGAACCCTTTATTGCGATACACAGGTCGCACATTGAAGCAGTATTCTTTTTACATTCATTTTATTCCATCTCTTCAGTCATCGAGCCTCTAAGGGAGAATCTATTCGGTTTGCTAATAAATTTCCCGATAGTGGCCATAGCGCGCCTTGCTGTGTGGGAAAAAAATAGGCTGTAGTAATATAGATATCGAGGCGACGCGGTGTCTGGCGTTTATTCCCTTCATTTTCTCGACAAAGTACGATGATTCAGGATGCGATTGAGCGATAGAGGTCGTAAATAAAGGGAATTTCAATCAGTTAGGTTGTAAGTTATTGTGATTATGTTACTTGATGGACTACTAATGTGATATAGAAATCGAAGGAGGCCAAAGCTCCAGTGGATAGATGGCATAAGTCGAGAGGCGGAAAACGTTGGCATAGCAAACTGTATGATAGGTCGAAATGTTGCTGGACCAAGCCAAGGCTCACAAAGGCCTGTGGAGCTTCAGAAGAAGAACTAATGTGATGGGAAATTGTATGTGGGGTAGAGAGTTTCAAAGATGTCTTGACAATAAACATTTTGCAATTAATATTACAATATAGCCCAATTTTGTTTTCGTTTGTTTGGTTTTTACCCGTGTTGACTTCATTTGTTTTTAAAAATAGTATAGAAATTACGCTGATCTTTATTGTTTGTTTAAATGAGATAATTTTAAATAATATTTCTTAGAACATAATTCCAAACATCCGTTTTGTAGATTGTCATTTATTTTTAAACAACTGAAGAAACGAGAATTATTATTAAAATTAATGTTTCCTTCATCCAGATGTCCGTTTTAATATCGTTGAATATGTATCAGTAATTAAATTGATGAATTTGAAAAATTAACATCATTAAACAACTTAATGATTATCATACGAAGGTTAATCGATGAACTTAGTTGTTAGGGCGGAGTTTTATATTAATATACTAATTATACCGGTTTAACGTCCCTATTAATATTGGAAATTCAGTAGGAAAAACTCTAGAAACAGATACTTTTAAAACAGATACAAATACAGATACAGATACAAATACTTATGATACGGATACTTTTAAATCAGATACAGATACAGATACTTTTGATAAGCAATGAGAGTTCTTATTTTCTTCACTCGTATAATTTTTAATCACCCAAATAGCCACAGAGGTGAACATACCTGAGGTCCATTTTGACCAAACTATTCTTACCCTTAGGATATTCAGTATTACTTTAAATTATGAAAACGGTTAACATATATGTCTATTCTACAGTCTATTTTTGAATTTTCAAACTAATCATATCAATCTATACTCATGTTATAAAGAGAAAAGATTTGTATTTTTGTATGTATTTGATTCATGCAAAAATTACTGGGCCGATTTTAAAAATTCCTCCACAATTAGAAAGGTAATTTATCCGTGAGTAACATAAGCTATATTTTTTTTACGCGGGCGAAGTCACGAGCAACAGCTAGTTTGTAATGAATTTAATAAATTACAATTTGGTGTGTCGAGTTAAAAAGTTAAATATTTGGACTAAAGCGTATTTGCTTCATAGGTCTCAATTAAACATTATATATGTCAGTAGTAATATAGGTCGTAATATAAATGTTAGCTCGATGGATCACCCACCACGTGGTATGACGTCACCCCGCAATAAGGAAGTCTGTTCAATTGTCCACGCATCACGCCACTATTCTGCACATATTTGGCGAAATCTAAAAAAGAAACTACACTATTAATAATTTTATCACGTGTTTTTTCTATATACGTACTTTCTTGTAGCTGCTTAGAAACTTGATCTAGTTTATTTTTCCTCTCAAATGCTAATTGAAATATAATTTTAAAAACATACATTTTCATACATAACATAGTTTCATCGTGTAGCATCTAATAAGTGGGTTATTAAGTGAGTTTAATTCAAATTTTGATTTTACGAATTTGCAAATATTTGCAGAATAGCGCCTCATTTATGGAATGCGCTCCATATTGAGTGATTTATATTTTACTGAAACCAGCTCACCAAATACATTTGGCCTCTTCTTCGATTCACAAAATTTTTCATTAGGATATTATCACTAATAATAGTAATATATTCTTACTTCTTACTAATAATATAAATGCGAAAGTTTAGATGGTTCGAAGTTTGCTCTAGTTCGTAGCCTAAACGACTGAACGATGTCGATGAAATTTGGCATAGATGT